GAGAGGTAGCTTTACTTGCTAATTTTCAAGTTAGACCAATTTTAGTTGATCGGGTGCTTGAAGCTCAGGTAGCTGATAGGGAGACTCAAGAATTGATCCAAGCTCGAGATCGAGGAAGGAGGAGAGACCTCAGAGTTCGTGATTCGGATGGCATGCTGATGCAGGAGGGTAGGATGTTTGTGCCTAATAATTTGGATTTAAAGAAAGCAATTCTCGATGAAGCACATATCTCGGCTTATGCTATGCATCCAGGAGCTACTCAAATGTACCATACCATTCGACCGTTTTATTATTGGCCGGGTATGAAGAGGGAAATAGCTGAGCATGTGAGTAGGTGTGCTGTTTGTCAGCAAGTTAAGGCGGAAAGGAAGAAGCCGTTTGGGTTGTTGCAGCCGCTTCCCGTTCCAGAGTGGAAATGGGAAAATATTACTATGGATTTTGTGTACAAGCTTCCGCGTACACATAATGGTTTTGATGGCATTTGGGTGATTGTTGATCGGCTTACTAAGTCAGCACATTTCATTCCAGTGAGGGAGAAGTATTCTTTGGGTCGATTAGCTGAGTTATTCATCTCAAAGATCGTGAAGTACCATGGTGTCCCTATGAGTATTGTCTCGGATCGTGATCCAAGATTTACATCTAAATTTTGGGTAGCTTTCAGAAAGCTTTGGGTACTAGACTACTTTATAGTACGGCGTATTATCCTCAAACGGACGGACAGTCAGAGAGAACCATTCAGACTTTGGAGGATATGTTGCGAGCTTCGGTGTTACAGTTTGGTGATGCTTGGCACCAGCAGTTGGATTTAATGGAATTTGCTTACAACAACAGCTTACATTCGAGTATCGGCATGGCACCATTTGAGGCATTGTATGGTAGATCTTGTCGCACACCTTTATGTTGGTCAGAGGTCGGAGAAAGAGTTTTGGTGGGCCCGGAGATTGTTGAGGAGACTACTCAAAATGTTCAGGTAATCAAGTCTAACTTGAAGGCAGCCCAGGATAGGCAGAAGAGTTTAGCAGATCGACATGCTACTGATAGAGTGTATGAGGTTGGCGATTGGGTATTTCTGAAGCTTTCACCATGGAGAGGCGTGGTACGGTTTGGAAAGAAAGGCAAGTTGAGTCCCAGGTACATCGGACCATACATGGTCACTGAGCGAGTGGGTGAGGTAGCTTACAGGCTGGAGTTGCCTCCGGAGTTGGCTAGAGTACATAACGTTTTTCACGTGTCCATGCTTCAACATTATGTTGCTGATCCATCTCATGTGATACCTCATCAACCCTTGGAAATCAATCCAGATTTGACTTATGATGAGGAACCAGTGACGATACTAGATTGGAAGGAAAAGGTTTTGAGGAATAAAACGGTGAACTTGGTAAAAGTTTTGTGGAGGAATCATTCCGTGGAGGAAGCTTCGTGGGAAACTGAAGATCGGATGAGAGATTTGTATCCTCGGTTGTTCTTTGATCACTAGGGGTTGTTGTATGGTTGTTTTGAATTTCGGGACGAAATTCTTCTAAGGTGGGTAGGTTGTGACAGCCCGTTCTGGAATTTTTAAAACGTACGCGTGAAAAGACGATTTTTCCCCTAGTGTGATTTCTACGTTGTATGGTTGTTTTGAACTTGGTGTGGCTAGTTGTGGACCACACACACTTCCCCACACATTTCCTTCACCCTTTCCCTGTCCGTGCACCTGTCCCGTGCCATTTCCCTTCCCATTTTCCCCCTCCATTGTACGGACACACACACAAACACACCAAATCTTTATAGATCGAAGAAACAAAGTACATATCCATGCTCGTGAGGTCCGTAAGAGTCCAACCATACCCATTTCAGGTAAGGTCGTAGTCAACCATTCAGTAGTACTCTTCACGTCGAACTCAAGATACCCGATTTTTGGCACTGTTCATGCACACGTAAATTCTTACGTTTTTGGGAATTTCAAACTTATAGGAAGCTTGGTGAGGCCTTAGGAGGCTCGGGGTGGTTCGTTTGAAGGTTTTGGACGTCGGGATCGCGAGTTTCGAGGTTGGCCGGAGTTGGGGGTATTTTCCCAGCGAGATTTCGTAGGTTTTAGCACTTGAAAGTGGTATGAACTTGTTCCTCTCGTTGTAAGCTTCAATTTGGTATCAATTTTGTGAAATTTGGTTGAAAAACGAAGAAGATATCACGATTTGAAAATTTCCCGATTTTTCGGCGCCGTCGCCGGCGCCGGAGCCTCGCCGGAGAAGACGACGGAATATTCCTAACGCCGTTGACGGAATCCTTTAAAGTTAACGGAATATTCCTGATGCTGTTAATTGACGCCGTCAGCGTGCCAAGCACGTGCCTGCGCGTGGCCGGCGCGTGCGGCGGTGAAAATTTTTTCTAAAAATATGGGGATGTTCCTGAGGTTGAGTAGATCACGTTGGTGTATTCATACACCCCATTTGAGCATTGTATGAGAAGTTATTTCATAAAGTTGGTTATGTGCTTTAAAATTAATGTTTTTATAGTTGTTTTGCGTATAGGTGAGACCTATCCCGAGGACGAGCGTGGTCACTCGAGGCAAGGGGGTTACGACCCTTCTACTTACCAGTGAGTGGGCTTTTATTTTTCCGTATATACCTATATATTTATACTTTTCCCAGAAATTGGTTTGAAACCTTTATTCGTTTATATGCCATGCATTATATTGCCGTTTGTTCATACATTATTAGTTGCATGTGTATATATATGTATGTGGGTGCTGTGGACGCACAGGTAAGTGCCAGGTGAGTATGACTTATGTTATGTTTAGTAGTGTTTCGAGATGCCTAGAAAGCTCATAACCTGCACCCCCGGTGTTAGTGCTCCCGCCCATAGTAGGGCACAGTCCTTCACGTGATGTTCACTTCCCGCACCACACGCTCATCTTGGATCCAAGTTAGGTGCACAAGCTTGTCGTACAGACCACTTTAAGTGGTTCCGACTCATAGGTGACCCGCGATTATTCGCCCAGCCTTCACGTGATCGTAGCACTTGAGCGTATTTATATATTACACCCAGGCCTGTCGTACAGACCACCCTAGGTGGTTCCGACTTGTGTGCAGGTATGGCTAGTGAGATGGAGATTGAGCTCTAGTTTCAGCCGTACAGGTCACGTTAGGTGACTCCGGCTGACAGATTACGTGACATTGAATTATTATTACCTGAGTAGCTTGCGTTTTACTTAATGGTTTTGGCATGGCATATTTCTGTGCATGACTTATGTGTATATATATATTATAGTTTCTGGGAAGTATACAGGTTTTACGACGAGGGGTTAGAAATTGTTTTGAAATGGTTTTTGAAAAGCTTTGTTTTTGCCCACTCACGCTTTTGTTTTGCGCCCCTCCAGGTTCTAGTTGGCTAGCACATTTGGTGGTTTCCCTGAGGATTTCCCCGGCATATCTAACAGACCACCACCAGTGTAGGACCACCTTCGGGTGTGCTTTTGTTATGTCGTTTTCTCCTGGACTGCATTAGGCGTTCTTGCTCTGAACTTAGTGTTCACACCTACGCTTGCACTTGTTGTTATTACTTTGTGTAAAGCTAGTTTTTAATTATTCGTACTATTTATTATTATTATTTTATTTAGCTTCCACACTGTGCACATGGTTACGTCACTTCCACGTGACGGTCAACATGCCCTGATCTCGATCGGGGTGTGTCATTTTTTTCTTTTTTCTTCCTCCTTCTCCTTTTTTTTCCTCTTCTTTTTCTTCATCCGTCTTCCTCTTCGGGGAGGCCGAGGGGGTGGGGGGTGTTGATGGGTTTTCAAATTTTATTTTTTGGTTGAAGATTAAGAAGGGAAGAAGATGAAGATTTTTTTTGGGGGGGGGGGGAAAGGACGAACAAGGGATTTTTTTTACTTTTCTTTATTATTTTAAAAAATATTAAATAATATTTTTTAGTTTTTAATAATATTTTATTAATTTTTTAATAGAAAGTGGGTCCCGAATCAAGCTACGTCAGCATTTAACTGAAAAGTAAATGGCCAAGTAATGGAACGTATAACATTGGACCAAATTCTAAAGATGAGGTATGACATTGTCAATTTTAAAAGATGAGGTATGAAAGTGTCGTAATACTAATAATTGAGGTAGTTATTTGTACCTTACCCTTTTAACAATGCTTGTTTAGCCAAATTAGGTTGGAAAGTTTTAACCAACAAAGAAAATTGGTGGGCTGAAATAGTCAAAAGTAAATACTTACGTAAGTCCGATTTTTTAAATTCGAAGATTAAACAAAATTACTCACTTGCTTGGAAAGGCATTCTTTCTAATAGAAACATCATTCATGAGGGAATGAGATGGATTGTGGGTAGTGGTGAAGACATACTCTTCTTGACCCATCACTGGGTTTTTTCTTACCCCCTTTTTCATTTAATTCCTGTGAATGATAGGAATAATATTGATCGGAATCTTAAAGTAAGCAACTTTATAGTTCATAATAGTTGGGATAACATTAAATTAGCTACTGTAGTTGATGATGACATAATTAGAAAAATTTGTCGCATTCCCGTCCCTTTACAAGAGTTGAAGGACAAGCTAATTTGGGGCTTAACCAATAATGGGAGCTTTTCCATTAAGTCAAAATTGGAACAATCACTCTAGTAATCGCCTTACTTTGTTAAAGAAAATGTGGAAGCTAACTATTCCTCCTAAGGTTAAAATGTTTGCTTGGCTTATGATTCAGGAAAGATTGCAAACCAAAAAACGCTTAAGTTGATTTGTAAAAAACTTTGATAAGTTATGTCCATTATGTAATACAGCCGAAGAAGATCAATGTCATCTCTTTTGTAATTGTGTTTTTGCTACTAAAATTTGGAGCTAAACTTTTGGTAGTTTTAATAATGGTAACATAAGTACTAATGATAATTTTTTTTTATTGGATGGAATCCTTAAGTTCTAATGACAATGACGGCCTTTCTGATCTTAGTAAAGTAGTTCTAAACTGCTAGCAAATGATGGAAAGAAATAACTTGGTGTTCAGAAATGTGCCCCCGATCTCGGCGCGTTGTGTTTCTATCGCCAGTAGTGTTGGTTCGGCTTTTTGACAAGGCTAATGGGAAGTGTGACTCCAGGGAGGCTTTACCTATCTCTTCCTTTATTAAATGGCATCCTCCTGACCGGCATGATGTGATTAAACTCAATTTTGATGGTTCAATTTCGAACAACCGTGCTGCTACTACCTTTGTGCTCTGTAACAGTAATTCACAGGTGATTAGGGTGGGGGCTCTTAACCTTGATGGTGCTATTATTTTGGTAGCAGAAGCAACAGGTTTGCGAGAAGGGCTCCAGTGTGCTAGGCGCAAGGGTTTCACCAAAGTGAAGGTGGAGGGGGACTCTAAACTCATCATTGATGCTGTGCAGGGTCACTGGGGGATTCCTTGGAGAGTCAGCTCTATAATCAATGATATTCGTATCCTGGCTCGGTCTTTTAGTCATGTTGACTGGAAGCACATTTTCAGGGAGATAAACTTTGTTGCGGATGCTTTAGCTCACCTTATCCTCTCCCTCTCGAATCCTCATTATTGGGATTTCTGTTTACCTGATGTTGCGACTCCTGCCTTTAATTTTGATTGTATTGGAAATGGTTGTACTAGAGGTTTCATGCTTTAATGAATTTCTTTGCATCAAAAAACAAAAAAAAAGCAATAAATTTCTAATATTGAAAATAAAAGTTTTAAACAGTTGTCTGTGAAAATTAAGTCTATAGTGGCTAAATTAAACACCCTTCGGCCTTGGCACTAGTATAAATCAAGTCTAGCTACTAAAATATACATAGCATTGAAACCACATTCGGGTAAAAAGAGTTAAACAATATATTAATCTTAATTAACATCCAAAACTTCTGGGTTACAAAGAAATTTACCGCACGTACAGTAACAACAAGAAGGAGATACGTATGCCATACTGTACATTTAATTACTAGATAATGCTAGGTAGACTAAATTTGTACATTAAATTTACAAACTAAATGATGTGTCATTAATAAAAAATAAACACATTACAAAATTTGATCTACAAATTTAATCTCTCTAACATTATCCTTAATTATATAATGCTAAAATTGTTTTAACCAATTTACCTCAACAGAAGAAAGATGACACGAAACAAAGAAATTAGGATAATGCTAGAGAAATTAAAATTTTATATTAAATTTACAAATTAAAAGATGTATTTGGCCTATAAATTTAATTTCTCTAGCATTACCTTTAATTATATAATGCTAAAATTGTTTTAACCAATTTACCTCAACTAGGGGTGGGCACGGTGCGGTTCGGTGCGGTTCCACTCCTAAACTGGAACCGGAACCGTAATATATTAACGGTTCGATTCGGTGCGGTTCCACTTAAATTTATTACTAGAACATTACGGTTCGGTCTACACCGGTTCCGATTCGGTTCTTGCCGGTTTACGGTTCCTAATAATAAATTATTTGAACACCAAATCATTATGCATTCAAATACATCTTCTAAAACTGATTACATAAAGTTGCATACAACACATCTTTTTTAATGCAAATGTCTTTGGTAGTGGCACCAAGTCAACAAAAAGAGACATAAAATACATATGCACTGGTCAATCAGTCAACAAACAAAAAAATGATGAAGCAAATTGCAGGTTTTCAAACTTCAGAGAGCAAGCAGGAAGCAGCAGCTCCTGTACACAATTTTTCAACCTATTATACCATGACATGTGTGTGTATATAGAATTTTATTTATTTATTATTAATAAAACGGTTCGGTTCGGCCGGTTCTTGGTCATTCGAAACCGGAACCGAAACCGGTTTGAACGGTTCGGTTCGGTTTTTCTCTCAAAGTTGACTTTTCCAGTCAACACGGTTTTTTTCGGTTTTTTTTTCTTACGGTTCGATCCGATTTTGCGGTTTGACGGTTTTTATGCCCACCCCTAACCTCAACAGAAGAAAGATGACACGAAACAAAGAAATTAGGATAATGCTAAAGAAACTAAAATTTTACACTATATTAACAAATCAAATAATGTATCACCAATAAAATTAAGTAAATTACACAACACTTCGAAGATAACTCAATCATCAACAGCCACTTCTATTGGTTTATAAAATTTAGTTTAAAATTTTACTCTCCCAAATTTTAATATTGTTCCAACTTGCAAATATTTCCTCAGTTTTCTTGTTCAATATATAGTATCACTTGTTACCAAGGAGCGCGATAGAAATTAACAATAAAATAAAGCCTAGTTCGCTATTTTAGCTGAGGAACTCAAATTACATCAACGTATTTCATTTTTAGGTTTCATCAATAACTAAAACTACAGAGAGAGAGAGAGAGAGAGAGAGAGAGAGAGAAGACAATTATGCTAAACCATATGTTGCTGCCAAAATATCACAAAAGAAATTACTAGGCAGCTGCTACGACTAAGTAAAGATGGCATCATGAATTAATTCCAACTTGAAAATATTTGATATTTCAATTGTTTTCTCAGTAAGGAGTGCGAGATGGAGGACCCCAAGCCATGACTTGATGATGATGATCAGGAGGGCTAGTGTTCATCTGGCACGTTGGACTCGCAACACCACTGCTACGGCCGCCGCCGCCGCCGCCGCCGTAAGTGTGACAACTTTTTTCATTAATGCAAGGCTTAGTATCCTCCTCACCTTCATATTCACCGCCACCCTCAACAGTCAAAGGCAACCTCTGAAGGGTCGGATCCAAAAACGTGGCGGCCACAACCATCACAGTACTCGCCGCCACAACCTTGCCCCCAACAATCCCTCCAAACACGTGCCCTTGCGCCCCCGCAAGACATACCGTGAATGACGAACAAGCCAGAAGAGAACAAGTCCCGGACGTCGGTAGTACGGCCGAACCACCATCACCACCAGCGGCGGAAGGAGAAGAAGAGCAAGTGATGACGGCCGGGAAGGAGTCTATGTAAGAGCCGGAGAGAGAGAGGAGATTGAATGGACCCTGAAGAGACAGTGACGGTTCGTGGGGCCCGGCTGGGTGTCTCAGCTTTACGTTCAACACCGCCCCTGAACCGCTTAACACACTGATGCCAACGTGGCGCCTTCGGGCGTACTGTACAATCGTCTCCACCACATCGGACCCGGCGGAGATCTCGAGGACCACCGCCTTCATCGCTGACCCCGAGTCTTTGGTGATGACGATCGGGGGTTTGGGCTTGTTCTTGGACCCCGGCGGTCTCCCTCTCGGTTTCTTTGAGTTTGAGATGATAATATCACCCGACGGTGATACCATGTTCTTGTGTCCGGACGACGAACACCTTCCTCCTCCACCACCACTTGCGCCTCCAGAGAGTGTGGGGACGCTCCGGGGGCTGTGCATGGAGTCATCGTCGGAGGCTTGTGGAAGAGAAATTGCTGCAGCTCCACCAGCACCAGAGTCTGCCATTTTGAGAAACAAGAACAACACAAACACGAGAGAAGAAATAATTTGTTTGAAGGGCAAACAGTGTTTGGGGTTGTTTTATATATAGCCAGTTTCAGGTACTATCTGGGATTTATCTGTGCTCAGTGATGGACAAGTACTGAAGAAAGCAAGGAGGAGGGCCCACAGAAAAGTGGACCCAACAGAGAAACAGAGAACAGAGAGCTTCTAGTTGGACAGAGAAACGGTGGACGTATGATCCTCTGGTTATTGGTTCTAGGAAAAATTTTTAGTTGTGACAGGAACAAAAGTGGTACATCACTTGTTTTAATAAGAATAATGAGAAATTTTATTTTTGAAGTTATTAACTATACATATCCCATTATTTATTTAGTTACATATGATGTACCATTTTATGTACCGGTCACAATGAAAAATCTCTCAAGCTAAGGCTCCAAGTACATTGTGACATTGTCCATTTCCATGTATTGGACCCGCAAATACGCTGAGGCCTACACCTGTCAAATTTCTTGCCCACCTGAACACGAAGCAAAAATATTAGGTTTTAGGTCAATAGTTAATTGATTGGGTTGCCTGTTTAAAGAGTTCTTAACAAGTTTATCTACGAGTAATCTCTTTCACCCCATTAAAAAATATTAATTTGATAATTTTAAACTACTAAAAAAATCTTACTAGCTACCGTAATAGCCAAAAAATTTAATCTTATATAAGTGAGATTAAAATATTCCAAAGTACATTAAAAATACCAAAACAATTAAAAATTCATAATAATTAATTTACAACTATGCAAAATGTGAAAGAAAATTATGCAAACGTTTGGGATTGCATCTTCTAGGCTTTAACGATGGATACATTGTCATTTGGATTTTTAAAACCTTACTAAACCCTCTTTATTGAAACCAAATTCGTGCACTGCTGTGAGCAGTGGAGATGAACAAATCTGAGTAACATGTAAAAAAGAAAAAAACCGTGAGCAAGCCTAAGATCTTGGGGGGTGGGGGGGGGAAGTGGGGGTTTGCCGGCCAAAGGCTCTGCGACAATCAAGTGAGTAAGCACATATAAGACTCAAGTAGTGAGCAAGAAAATTTTAAGTGCAGAGATTGTATTATCAGAGACGAAACCTAAATACGTATATATATATATATATCAATATGGAGAGAAACCTTTTGAGGATAGAATTCTTTTTCTAAGCTGGGAGAATCCTAAAGGAAATCTAGAAATAGATATTGCATCCTCTTTAAGAGTGTGATGTGGTGCACACCAATTCTTAGATTGCAGGAACACCAAGACTTATCGAGATATGACCAATTCCATTCTGGATCGATCAAATCCTGTGTCTTGTGGAACAAGCATGGTCGTTCCAACTAAGTCGCTCGGACTTTGCCCATTGCCCTGGAGCAGAGTGATGGTGGCATTGCTGCTCTGTTTGATCCAGCTCCGCTCATAGCTGGTGAGTCCATGACCGGACTTCTGAGGTAGCTATATCCCGATCAGCCTTATTTTGGCCCCATAACTACCCCTAACTATGTATCTGAAAGCAACTTGTTCTCTTTGGGATGGATACTTATCCAAAGATCACACCTTTCAAAGTAAGCTGGAATACGTACCATTAATCTTCTGTTTTCATGTGGTGATCCGACTCCTTGCAAAGTAATGAAGGCGTTTTGGATTGAGACGTGCAGTCTTGAGTACCGTACCATAAATGGTGTAAAGATGATGTCTACTTTTGTTGCGTGCGCACGAAAAATAAGAAATTACCTCTGAAACTCTTCACTGATTTTGACCGTCAGATTCGTTGATCCTAAGAAAAGCAGTTCATATTCAATGGCTAGATGGCTTCATTAAATGCTATCTATTAACCTCGAACCCCTTTCTTCCTCTTTCAAAAAATCCCTAAATCGTTTAAGGAAAAAGGCTCCAACTTTCTTCCCTACTCATTCAAAAAAATTTCTAATCTTTTCAACCCCTTTCCATGGTATTTGCTAGCAAGACTTCAAAATTACCTAAGGTCCCACCTTACAATCTTTTGCTAACAATATTCTGCAGTAAAGAAAAGGACCAAGCCTTTGTTGAAAGTCGTCTGGATATCTTAAATCAATGTAAAGTTTGGTGGGAACCTAGCCAAGATGTTAATGTTGACCTTCTTGTGCTGTTTGATCCCCCTGTGTCCCTACACCAGAATTCATCCATGGTTCTTAGACCTAAGTCTAAGGTTTCCTCTAC